TATGGTTTCATAATAATAAATGGACATTGGAGTCATCTGTGTTAAAATTAAGTGTGTTTCTATTGCTAGACTTTTATATCAGCAGTTTAACTTTATGGTTTCTCAAATAAGATTCCTAATGAATATATTCTAATTTTCAAAATCTTTTCTTTCTATTCTGTTTTGACATTGATACTAGATTTTATTATTATTATAAAATGAGTGTTTGATACCAAAGAACTTGAAATGGAGAAGGTAGATAGAGGTGAAAAGTTGTGGGTATTCCTCCAATTCCATTTCCTAGATATCACCATTAACTTCTGAAATAGTCTATATATTTTGAAATCATACTGTATTTCCTACATTGAAACACATTGAAATGTGAAAATAATGTACTCAAATACTTTATAACACTTAAATTATAAGATCACTTCATCATCATCATCTAGTCACCTAGGATATATTCTGAATCTTTTTGTCTTAATGTATCAGTTTTTTTTTTTTAAGATTTTATTTGTGTATACAGAACTGGGCTACAGGCCAGAGGTACAGGGGTCTGAGAGAATTCACCAGAGAAAGAGTGGGGAGCAGAACTGGCAGACTGACAAAGTCCACTGCTGAGGGGAGCAGTGGGTGGGTCAGGAGAGGTCTGCTGCACCATGTGGGTCACCTCCAGGGCTGGGATCCAACTCACACTGCAGCTGCCATGCATGGCTTGGCTTAGCTCTGCAGTACAGCACTCCAATCAGCTGTGCCAACAGGGAGGGCCCATATTCTGAATCTTTAAACCAGCTAGCTTATATCGAGAGTTACAATATTTCAGCATCATGAACCTCAAAAACAGCACATGATAACTCCATTAAAATATGCATTTGGGGACAAAAAGAAAGAAAAAAAGAAAATATGCATTTGGGGTTAGGGCTAAAACTGACTCACAGACTGCTCAAGTAGGGATGAAGATGAAGTTATATGCGAGAGGTTAGAAATCCAGTTAGAGGAGACATGCCGAAGAAACAGAAGTTTTGAGAATGAAGATGAAATTAAGATGGGAATAAAAAGGTGAAACAGGGAGACCATGTGTCCAGCACTTAGGAAAGGAGGACAATACAAACAGTACTATTTCTTGTACAGATATGTGTAACTTTTCATGTATAAAATTGAAGATTGCTACATCAATATTTAAATGTCCAGATTTCTGATTTTAATTACTTTGTGCTGTACTCTCCTGAAGATTCTATCAAAAGTTTAAGTACTTTAGATTTCTGATTTCCAAGTATTTCAAAACTTAGGGAACTTTAGTTGTCTTTTATACATCTAGTCCACTTTCATGTGGTAGTGGCCAACCTCACACATGCAAAATGAGATCAAGGAGGAGGCTTGACGCCTGGGGAAGATGCATGAGGTACTTTTACAATTAGATCATGTATTACTTCCATAATTAGTGAGAAAGCCAAAGGACCAACCCGCAGGTCCTTGTCCAACACTCCAAAGAGGATGACACTGAAACAAAACAGGCAATGACTACGTGGGTGACTGCTGAGAAGCCAGTTCTAGAGAGCAGCTAATGGGTTTGCTATCCTGCAGCTCTGTTGTGAGGGGAGAGGTGTAGGCAGCCCCACCCCATCAGAGTCTGAGAGGCAATGAGAGACTCATGACAACCTCTTAGGAAAGGCAGAGGACCAGGGAGTGGTGGATCCTCGCAGGTTCCCAACCTCTCCAGCTCCAGTAGGAGCACTAGGTATTCAATTAAGTCTCAGATATGCGGATGCGTGTGAGGTTGCCAGGGAACCATGACAGAGCTGTCTCCCCATTGCCTCCATTCTCCTATAGTAGCTACACCCACACACAGTTCTCCCGATTCCAAAGCCCGATTGCTATACTTAACCCCCTACTCTCGGTGGATAATGATGACCTTCCTGGGTAGGACTCATTCTTAGATGGATCCACATCATTGGTTGTAACAGACATTTGTCCCTCAAGACCTTCGGTTTAGCTCATTTTTAGGACCTAGATGCAATTAACGTTTTCATCTTTGCAAAACCTATTTTTTATTTTTAAATTTCCTTTTATTTTTGCTTGCAAATAAGCCAATTCTGTGTTTCTCTCCTTCTTAAAATACCTAATTAAAGGCAGCCAGTAACAGTCAACATGTGCCACTAATATTCTACCTCTTTTCCCTGCACCTCAGCAGAATCAGGAGGCCAATACCCTACCTTCCGGAATACTGAAGATAACAGTTTAAGGAAATGTTTTGCCACTGCAAAGACTATTTCTGTAGCAACAAAAATAAGTAACTAATCTCACCTTAAATTTATATCCATATATTCATTCATAGCACTGGAAACCTAAGTGTAATTGTATTGCCCAAAACACTCCTCAAAAACAACAACAACAACAAAAACTGCTAGGGCCCTCCCTGTGGCACAGTGCTATAAATCTGTCTGCAGACACTACAGCATGAGTTCGATCCCAGGCCAGGGAGGTGACTCACATGGTGCAGCAGACCTCTCCTGACCCAGCCGCTGCTCCCCGCAGCAGTGTAGTTCAGTCATTCAGCCTGTTCTGCTCCCCACTCTGTCTCTGGTGAACCCTCTCACCTCCTGTAACTCTGACCTGTACCCCAGTTCTTGTATGCATAAATAAATACATCTTTTTTTACAAATCTATCTTAGTTTGCTTATTTTTCACTTTATTTTAAACAGTTTTATGAATAAAATTTATTATTCTGCATCATTCATGGGCCCGCAGTCCCAACTGCAATCAAGATATCGATCAAGTTGTAGTTCTCTCTGGATCTTGGCATCCTCTAAACTCACCCATGTTGTCAGCTGAATTGAGTTACTCATGGTTGTACTGGGAGGACCCCACTCCTTGCTGACTAGCATCTGTGGGAATCTGTTTTTTCATTTTGAGAAATTTTATTTATGTAGCAAAGTAAAACAAATATTATTGTTGTCATCACCTATATATTTAAAGCAGCTCTTTGGTTTAATTTTCTCTTGTGCTTTTTCATTCTATGAATAGGTAGAGTTCCCTTTAATCCTACTTAAGTAGAAACTGGATTGTCTAGCTCCAGGTGACAGAAGGGCAAATAAACAATCTTAAATACCACAGAAGTGAAGAGAAAGTTAATTGCAAAATTCTATCTTTTGAGGCAGCTCCCTCAGGACACTTCACCCCTACTTCCCCCCAAATTTTCATGAACTATGACTCATAACTACTTACACATTTTCCCAAAGGATTATCATTCAAGCAAATTTTAATGTATATCATAATCACCCTTAGAGGGCTTGTAAAAGCAAAGAATACTGGGCCCTACACGTTGCCTTCCTGACTCAGATTTGAAGTTGTGCTTAAGAATTTTTATTTATAAGAAATTCCTGGGTGACACCAATGCTGTTGGTCCAGAGACCTCAAGAACCACTGATCTATTTTCTAAGATTACGTACTTCAGGGACAGATACAGGCCCTCCCTGCCTATGTGAAGACACAAGACTTGTGACCTCACCCCTATTTATTCCAAAGATAACTTCAATTCTCCTAAGACCCAGCCAAACTAAGAGCCAAAGAACTGATTTCACCTTCCTCCTTCTCAGAAAATTTAATCTCTTCTCCTGAGACCTCCAAACTCTGCTCTAGATATGCCAGGAATGGAATCTTACTCTTCAGCTGGCATGAGTTTTATGGAGATGGGCAAGCAATATGTGGTAAGCACTGTGGTTGGTCAGAAGGTCCAGGGTTAACAACCCAAGGCCTCCTCTCAAATACAGGTGCTGCCTCTTCCTAAGTGCCCCAGGGAAGTCCTTCACCGGTCTCATTTTCTCCATCTACATAATCTGGGATAATGATGCTCACATACTACAGAACTGCTACAAAGAGGAAACAGGAATAGGCAAAACAGGAGTCCTCTGTTGGCCTTGAAGTGCCTTGCAAGTAATAATAATTACTATTATCATTTCAGGACAGAATTAATCTTGACTTTTTTTTTTGATTGCAGTAATTTTATTTGATGCTTACCTTTCCCCAACTATAGGCTGTAATCTTTGATAGTCAGTATTGTGCCCTAGCTCACCTTTCATGCATGAATTCACACACTTAAAATAACTTAAACCACTTATTGCCATTCTTAGGCTCTAAAATAAAAACAATCAAGCTACTGGCATTAAAATCTTGATCTAAAATCATGAGCTTCTCAATGACCAAAAATAAGCAGCCCTGCTTTTCACTGGTTATCAATGAACCAAATATCTGTAGTTCTATTTTACTCCTTCTCCCTCAATCTCAACATTAGGTTCCATCCCAGAATTTCCCCAACAAGGAGTTACAGATTAGAAAAATTAGATGCTCATTGAAGGGGGGTTGTTAAGGGGAGCACTAATGATGTTGACAAAGACCACCTGTGCAAGGCATGTACCTTGTCATTCTGATTATCTTCCTTCCCTTCAAAGCTTTTGGCTATTATGGTAGGCAGTGATTCTATTTCTATTGTGCCGGCGGGTAAAGAACCCAGTCTGTGGCGTTAAGGGGCTTAGAGGCTCTCAATTCTAGCACCTTCTGTGTGACCTTGGACAAAGCCTTGCATTTCTCCAAGCCCCAGTTGCTGTATCTGTAAAACAAAGCCACCACAACTTGTCTCCTGGTGTTTAGATCATAACACATGGTTTATCGTGCTCTGCCTGACACTTGGCAGGTGTAAATATTTACTTAGGAGCCTCACTTTCCCTGGCTTTATTTTTAGGTGTCAGGATCTCCTCTAAGACACTGAAGGCCTGCAGTCCCAACCCAGGCCTCTAGGTCCTAGATCAACTCCCAGTGGAGGCCAGAACCGCCCTTCAAAGCCCGCAACGCCAGAGGATGACGTCCCAGCCTCGCAGAAAGGCCAACCCCAGCCCTCGCTGCTCTCGCCCTACCGGAGTGCGGCGGGTGACGTCACTTCCGTCGGAACTGGCGGGGCGTTCGCGCGCTTGGCGCGAAAGTCGGTTCGCGGTCTCAGCAATTTCCGCATTCTGTTTGCTGGGGCTGGGGCGCCGCCGGGTGGGCGGGTGTGCGCCGGGGTGGCGCCCGACCCCAGCCGCCGTCCCGACGGCCGCGCGCCGCCCCGCTCGCCGCCCGAAAACCCCAAGGCTCCGCCGAGGTGAGTGAGGCGCCGGGAGAGGAACCCGCGTCCTCGGCACCCCAACTGCGGGTCGCGACGCCGCCTATGGCCTTCGGGGCCCGAGTTTCCTGCCCTGTAATCGGCCGTGGGTCCGGCGGGTAGGAGTCTGACGCCCGAGAGGTCGCGGCTGCGGCTGGACCCAGAGCCAGGCCTTTCCCTGGGAGCTAGGGAGCGAGAACATCCGGGTTTGTCGGGGTCATGACCTTCCTAACTGGCTTCTTTGTTCATCTTTAAAAACCTTTTACTGAGGGGCGAACAGATCTGCAGAGCCGGGGGTACGTACACACACTCGCAGACCTGCAGGGACAGATGACACCTGTGTATCTTTAGGTGGGATTGAACGTCAATTGCTTTATGCGATTTAAACCCAGGGCGAGGGCCCTCAACGTATGCAGTTTTGGGGGACGTTAATTTCGTTCAAATTTGCAAGGATTTGTGTTGTCATCTTTTAGCCTGACGTTGCCTCATTCCAGTGTGTCCTACAAACGTGGTGGACGAATTCCTGGGCTAGGCCAGAACGGCTACCCGTACCTCAGCCTCACTTGTCGACGCTGAAAAATAAATAGGCGCTTTGAAACATTTAATTTCATAGGTAATGTGTTTTTGTTCTCACTAATACTTTCTTTATTTTGACAGTTCAAAGATGTCCACAAGTGACAAAGAACCGTTTTATGTGAAGTTTTTAAAGTCTTCCGAAAATTCTGAATGTTTTTTTAAAGCGCTTGAGGTAAGAGTAGATGAAATCACTTATTTCTTGTTTTCACTGTGTTTGAAGTATTTGGATTTTTTATGCGTTAGCAGTAGATAGCTTATATTCCTAATAGTTGCAGTGTGTAGTCTTCTTTAATATACATATAGCATGACATTCTTTGAATTGGTGTAAGTGTATCGTTATTAAGTACTGGGGGAGCTTACAATTATTATAACATTCCTACTGAAAGTGATGGACCTGTTGTTCTTGGAGATTAATTTGCTAGATTGCTGCTTTTTTTTTTTTTTTAATTTAGGAACCAGAGTAGACCTTGTGTGTTGAAAAGACCTGAGTCAGTCACATACTGGTTACAATTAGTTAATTGTTAAATGTTTCATTTTGTATAGTGTGATATGAGAAGTGTGGACTCTTACCACTTAACAGAACTCAGTAGTGTCAGCATTGCCTGAAACTTTGTTAGAAGTACAGTACTTTGCTGCATTTCAGACATTTAGAATCTGCATTTTTTAAAAGACTTATTTATGCATACCAGAGCTGGGGTACAGGCCAGAGGTGCAGAGGCGGTGAGAGGATTCACCAGAAACAGAGTGGTCAGAACAGGCTGACTGACAAAAGTGCACTGCTGTGGGGAGCAACAGCCGGTCAGGAGAGGTCTGCGCCGCCATGTGGGTCACCTCCGGGGCAGGACCAAACTCATGTGGAAGTGACTTTAGCTTCTCAGTGCTGTGCTTTAACCATCTGGGCCACCAGGGAGGGCCCAGAATCTTCATTAACAAGATCCTCAGTGTGGTTTCTATATACACTGAAATTTGAGATGTGCTGTTGTAGTTTTTCCGTAATTCATCACTCAGTAAATATTCATTGTGTGTCCATGAGCTGATAATTTCTGTTCTAGTACTTTGGATATGTCTGTGACTAGAGCAGTCAAAAATCCGTACTTAGGACTTATATCTTATTTCAGAGGGAGGGAATCGGTATTAATTAGACATGATAAATAAGTAAACCAAATATGTTTCAGAATGTTAAATAGTATGGAGAGAGAAAAAAGGACTAGGTTAAGAGATTCTGGAGTATGTTTGGGGGAGGAGAAGGGAAGGCTATGGTTTTAATTCAAGTGTGATTAGGATAAACTTCATGAAGATGATGATATTTGAGGAGGTGAGGGATTTAGCCATGCAGATTATCTGAGAAAGAGGGTTTCAAGCAGAGTGGACGGCCATCCACAGGCCTCTGGAAAAATGCTTGGAGCATCTGTCCAAATTAGCATGGTTAAGGATATGGGACGAATATTAAGGGATGCTTGAGAGCCATTGTGAGCCATTGTAAGGACTTCAGTGAGATGGAGAGCCATGATAAGCTTTAATCAGAAACAAACTTAACTGTTAAAAAGGCTCACTCCAAGTCTTGAACATAAAGACTTCAAAATTTGTCAAGAGTGCCTGGAGATGGTAAGATACAGATAGAGCTCCTTTTTTTTTCTTTAAGATTTATTTACATGCAAGAGCTGGGGTACAGTCTAGAGGTGCAGAGATTGAGCACCTTCACCAGTGACAGAGTGGGGAGCAGAACAGGTGGATTGACTTGAAATACACTGCTGATGTAGCAGCAGGCAAAACCAGAGAGGTGTGCTGCACTGTGTGGCTCACCTCCTTGGCTAGGGATTGAACTGTGGACAGCTTCACAGTGCTGAAACTTAACACCTAGTACCACCATGGAGGTCCCCGAGACAGATCTTGAAACTAATTTTTATAGGGGAGAAAGACAAAAATTAGATAGATAGACAGACAGTTGGTTGATGTTTTTCTTCATAAAGTAGAGGTGTAGGGAAATGGTATTTTAGAATGTATAAGCAGGATAGGCATCTCTAATGTGATAGGAAGGAGCACATATGATTGAAATGAGGGATTAAGTCAGGTGAAGATCGGGAAGAAGAGTATGCCATGCAGGGAGAATAAGAACAAAGCTTCTAAATGGATTGATTCATACTTGTTCAGGCTTAATAAGAGATCAGGAATGGTAGAATAGCATAAGTGTGGGGACATGCACACTCTGGTCTTATAGAACATTGTTAAGAAATATGGATTTTGAGTGAGGAGGGAAGACACTGGAGGGTTTGAGTGGAGTGATGTGACTAGATTCCTGTTTAAAAAAAAAAAAAAATAGCTGCTGGGCCCTCCCTGGTGGCGCAGCGGGTTAAAGCACAGCACTGAGAAGCTAAAGTCACTTCTGCATGAGTTTGATCCCCACCTGCCCCGGAGGTGATCACATGGCGCGGCAGATCTCTCCTGACCCGCCCACTGCTCCCCTCAGCAGTGTACTTCGTCGATCTGCCTGATCTACTCCCCACTCTGTCCCTGGTGAATCCTCTCACCCTCCACATTTCTGGCCTGTACCCCAGTTCTCTACAAATAAATAAATCTTAAAAAAAAAAAAAATAGCTGCTATGTGAAGAAAAATTTAGAAGAAGAAGAGATGGAACTATTTTAGAAGCAACTGCAAAGGTGGAGAGATGATGGTAGTTTTCAATATGGGAAAGATTGGAGTTGAGGTGGATATTGAAGATTGGAGTTTATGGACTTAAATACATGTGACTAATTTCACTTGCGTTCTTTCTTTTATTTTTTTAGTCAATAAAAGAGTTCCAATCAGAAGAATATCTTCAGATTATTTCAGAAGACGAAGCATTGAAGATAAAGGAAAATGATAGATCACTTTATATCTGTGACCCTTTTAGTGGCTTTGTCTTTAATCACCTCAAAAAGGTTTGTGGACTTAAAGTGTATTCCTTCAACTGTTTTTTTATTTTGTTTCAGTGGATGTAACTTCTTTGCTGATTATACAAGTTATTAATACAGAGGTATTCTTTAATTTGGGTGACCAGAATGTTTTTAAAGGCTAATTATGTTACAGAAGGCATTTGTTATATGTAATTTTTATATTTCAGGAGATGAAGTTTAGTATAAATGAACCTCTATTATAATGAAGCATTTTAGTGATGAAGTTTTACTGTACTTAAACTCAATTTGATTGCAAGTTCTTTTAGGGAGGTAGGCCTCAACAAAGTGCTGGATTATTTACTGTTTTAGATGCTGTTGCACACAATTTTAGTATCTATACTTTGTATATGGTCTGAAAATTATATGTTAAGAGGAAACTTTTGGGGAATGAGTACTGCTAATATACCTATGAGCCATCTTATTTTTTTTGTTTGTTTGTTGATTCTAGAGTCTACTGACTCATTACTTTTTTGGTGTCTGGACAAGAGAGAAGCATTGAAATAAAAGTAAACTGGCTGTAATTCCATCCAGATTACAAAGAAGTGATTCTTGTTTGAAGGAGAAGAAAACATAGAAGAGTAGGTAGATGCAGTATCTGTACAATTTATGGAAGGTCTGTGCCCACCTTTGCCAGAAGCATTGTTGGTCTTACCCTCCTTTTGAAAATAACACTGCTTTTGTCAGCTAGAGACAATAGCATTAAAAACTTAACTTTTCTATGGCTGACCAGAAAGATAGCAATAATTAATTTGCCGTGATAGGTATTTACATCAGTCATGTTATGATCACTTTGGCAACTAAAGACTTTTTAGTCAGGCTTGAATGTGCTGGTGTTTGAGCAATGTTGCTGCCTTTCTTACTTATCAATACAAATGAGTAGTCTTTTTTTTTTTTTCCCCTTGAGTAACCTGCAATATCTTAGGTGTTTTGTGGATTTTCTTGGAAAGACAACCTATTTAAAATCTAAATGTAGATACTGTTATGGTTAGATTTTTTTTGGTGACATAGTAGGTATATTAGGGTGGGTTATATAGATTGTTAAACTTTATTTTTTTTCTTTAGATTTATTTATTTATGCATACAAAACTAGGGTATAGGCCAGAGGTGCAGGAGTGGTGAGAGGATTCCCTAGAGACAGAGTGGGGAATAGAACAGGCAGATTGACTGAAATACACTGCTGAGGGGAGCAGTGGGTGAGTCAGGAGAGGTCTGCTATGCCATGTGGATCGCCTCCAGGGCAGGGGATTGAACTCACGCTGAAGCTGGTGTGACTAGCTTGCAATGCTGCGCTTTAACCTGATATGTCACCAGGGAGGGCCCTAGATTGTTACACTTTCAAACTGTTTCATTGACTAGGTGCAATATTTAAAAATGTGTGTGTGTGTGTGTGTGTTTCTAATTGTTAGGATATGAAACTATTACACATACTCCCTTATATAGATAGCATTTGTTTCAGATTAAAATTTCGAGGACAGTTTTAAGTGAGTGTGACTCTTAGCTTATTTCTATTGATAGCCTTCATCGTTTCATCTGTTTTTGGTGTGTGTGTTTGCGTGTGCATGAATTTAATATGTAATGTATCTGAAAAATGATATATAACTGTCCTTATTTTTTTTATAACAATTTGTTGATTTTCTGCAGTGGTTCAACTTCTATAAAGAATTGGTAAATATTACAAAGTGAAATTTTTTAAGACGGAGTTCTTTTCCTATAAACTCACTAACTTTTCTTTTTCTTTGTAGCTTGGCTGCAGGATTGTTGGTCCTCAAGTAGTAATATTTTGTATGCACCACCAGCGATGCGTCCCAAGAGCTGAACATCCAGTCTATAACATGGTTATGTCTGATGTAATTATATCTTGTACAAGCCTTGATAAAGATAAAAGGGTAGGTGTTGAGAGGAATATCATGAAAGACTTGTTTCAATTAAAAGCAAAGATAAACTCACTTCTCTACATTGTCAATGACTATATTTAACTGACTTATATTTTTTCCACTGTACATGTAAGTTTATCTTCTTTAAAAAAGATTCTGGGCTATCCCCGGTGCGGATTAAAGCACTGTATTATGAAGGTCTCTGAAGCCACTGCAACACAAGAGTTCGATCCCCCACCAGGGAGCTGACCCACGTGGCGTGGTAGACCTCTACTGACCCGCCTACTGCAGTGTATTTCAGTAGATCTGCCTGTTGTGCATAAATAAATCTTTAAAAAAAAAAAAAAAAAAGATTCTGTGCCCTCCCTGGTGGCGCAGCGGGTTAACGCACAACACTAAGAAGCTTAAGCCACTTCCTCATGAGTTGATCCCCACCTGCCCTGGAGGAGATCCACATGGCGTGGCAGACCTCTCCTGACCCGCCCGCTGCTCCCCTCAGCAGTGTACTTCGTCCATCTGCCTGTTCTGCTCCCCACTCTGTCTCTGGTGAATCCTCTCACCCTCCGCATCTCTGGCCTGTACCCCAGTTCTGTATGCATAAATCAATAATAAAATCTTTTTAAAAAAAAAAAAAGATTCTAAGATATGTAGCATTCAGTCAGTATGACTCATACACTTTTAAAACATGCAGTAAATTAAAATATTTTGTTTAATATAGAGGCAACATTGTTTAGTGAATTCATGGAAAGAGGTAAATAGGAAAATAATGTATCACGGTAATTTTTAAATTTATAATTCATATTTATCTTGTGTCCATAATTTATTATTTAACTTTGTAGTATAAGCATTGTGTATTCAAGCTAAAAACAAAAGATATTTATGGGATTTTTTATTAAAAATGGAGAAGATACTTGCTTCAGTACTAATACTATATTTTCTTTTGGGGCTATAGGAAGAAGTTCACAAGTATGTACAAATGATGGGTGGACGTGTTTACAGAGACCTTAATATATCCGTAACTCACCTTATTGCAGGAGAAGTTGGTAGCAAAAAATATTTAGTTGCTGCAAACCTAAAGAAACCTATTTTACTTCCTTCTTGGATAAAAACACTATGGGAGAAGTCACAAGAAAAGTAAGAAAAACATTTTTTTCCAGATTTAAAAAAATACATATATTACATCATTTTGATATCTTGTGAGGGTTCGTGGGGTAGATTTTATAGTATCCTCTGTGTATTTGTTACTGAAAAATAAAAATGGGGTCCTTAAGCTTCTTTAGGAGCAGAATCTGCAAACTTACTATTAAGGTATAAGGTCTACCACCTTATGGGCTGTGGGTTTAGCATTAGTTACAAAAAATGTTTTGATAATTGTTTTCAGCAGTGAATGTGTGCAAAATAGTTGAGAAAATTGGTGTGGCAACTGTAGATCATGTGTTGCATTATCCTTCAATACTGTGTCTGTGTGTTAAGATAGACAGTAAATTAGCCATATTGGTGGTCATATTACCCTCCCATCCACTGAGAGGTGGTCTTTCAGTGAATGTAACTGAGTGCATTTTATATACCTGGCCTTAAGTTAAGTATTAGATATACATAGCACAACAGGATAGCATCTCTGCTATTATGGAACTTAGAACCGATTTCAAGAAAAAAAAAATGGATTTCTAGATTATTAGCCTTAAGTCCAGGTATCACTGTTTTAGTTAAAAATAGGCATTTTTCTGGTCTTTTTAACATCTTTTAGCAGTCCTAACTATCTCCATATCGACACCCTCATTCATCAGCATCCACCTAGCATGACAGCAATGATAATGAAATTTTTTTTGGTATTCTACCAAAACTCACTGCTTATTACTCAGTATAATAGAAGAATTAAAAGGCTGTTTTTCTAATAGGAGTCTAAAACCCCTTTGAATTTTTTAAGAACTAGATACAACTTTGAAATATACACCACTTTGATGACTTATAGTTAATAAAATAAGTATTTTCCCATAAAGGTTTTATTTGGAAGAATGCTTCTATCAAAAGCAATTTTTACCAGAGGCAGTGATACTGAGATAGATGAGCAACTAGTGTAATTCAGAATGTATTTGTTTCCCTTCAAAATGATTAAAATCCTGAGAAGAGAGGAAAATGTTAGTGATATTTCTTTTTTGTCATTGTTCTTTTGGGAACTTTTTAGTTATCTGGTATGTTTAATATATTAATTGTCTTCCTTATAACTTTTTTTCCACAGAAAAATAGCTAGATACACTGATATAAACATGGAAGACTTCAAGTGTCCTATTTTTCTTGGTTGCGTAATCTGTGTGACTGGCTTGTGTAGTGTAGACAGGAAGGCAGTTCAGCAGCTCACAGTTAAGCATGGAGGTCAATACATGGGACAGTTGAAAATGAATGAATGTACACACCTCATTGTACAAGAACCAAAAGGTAAAGTTGTCTTTACCAAATGGAGAAATCAAGGTTTTCTTTAGTATTTAATATTTTAAAGTCTTTACATATTAATGTTTCCTTCTGATGTAGCATAAGTCTAGTAATTTCTTTTCCCTAAAATCATGCAACAGTAAAGTATATGATTTTCCTAGTGTTTATCCTGGTCATACCTAAATACTTTAGAGTCGAGAATGTTGGATGAGGGGAACTCCTTGGTGGCACAGGGGATTAAGACTCTGTACTACTAATCTATTGTAGCCACTGCCCCGTGGGTTTGATCTCCAGCCAGGGAGCTGACCCACATGGCACAGTAGACCTTTCCTGTGTCACCCACTGCTCCCCTCTGCAATGTATTTCACTAAATCTGACTGTTCTGTCCCCAGTTCTATCTCTGATGAGTCTTCTTACCTCCCTGTCTTTTTTAAAGATTTATTTATTTATGTATATAAGAACTATGGTACAAACCAGGGGTGTGGGAGGTCAGAGGATTCACCAGAGACAGAGTGGGGAGCAGAACGGGCAGATAGATGGAAACATACTGCTGAGGGGAGCAGCAGGTGAGACAGCAGAGGTCTGCTGCACTGTGTGGTTCAGCTCCCTGATTGGGATCAAACTTGTGCTGCAGCAGCTGCAGATAGCTTCATAGTGCTGTGCTTTAATCCTTGTCACCACCAGGGAGGCCCAATAAATAAATCTTTCAAAAGGAAAAAGAATTCTTAACATTGCTATTAATTTTGGAAATCTATAACTATTTTGGAAAATATTATTTACCAATAACCTAGTATATATACTATTTAATGAGGATTTTATTTACATTTTTATTATGCTCATACTGTTAAGTTACCTAGATGCCTACTAAAATTAGGAAAATTAATTGTTGAGATTAATTGATAATTATCCTTAATCAGAACTTTGGGTATGGCCAGTTATATAACAGTTGTGAATAGGTTTGATGACATCTTTTGATTTTCTGGGTTTCAAAAATGTGCAGGAAAATAAACGATTTTTATATTATTATTTACTAGACGTGTCAGTTTCTTTTGGTACTGTTGTAAAATTAAGGATTTTTCTAAGACAATGAAAAGGAAAGTATTTTAGTGTATTTTATTTACCTATTTGCCTGTCTTGTACCTTAAAATCCTGTTGCCTCCATAATTTATTAAAAATTGATAGCTTTTATGTTGCAAATGTTCACATTTTTCAGTCATTTTATGGTCTTCTTGAAACCACATAATTGTGAAAGTTATCTCCATTTTACAGATTAAGAGCTGGCTTAAAGATATTAAGTATTGGAGGCTGTGCTCAAACCAGTCTAATATTGTTTCAGTTACCCCTTTCTTGTCTCTGCAACTTTGTAAAAGATCAACATTCACATAACGCATATTTATACAGTAATGGAAAATAAGTAAGATAACTGCTTTTTGACATGCCATATAGCATACTACTGAAGAGTAATTGTCGATAACTGATTGTTTCATGAATTTTTTTACCAATCATAATTTGAATATGCATGCAAAAATATAATTTAATGGTTTGCATTTCTCTGTTAACACGATAGGTCAAAAATATGAATGTGCCAGGAGATGGAATGTACATTGTGTAACCACACAATGGTTTTTTGACAGTGTTGAAAAAGGTTTTTGTCAGGATGAGTCTATGTACAAGGCGGAGTCGAAACTAGAAACAAAGACTATACCTGAAACTTCAACTCCTACTGGACAAATCAATGCAATTGATTGTAAGTCTCATTAGGATTATAGTAAACAGTTATTTTTTAAAGAGAATCATTTTACTATGTTAAGAATTGATTTGTTACAGGATCACCAAAGTACAGAATTCTTATTTTCTTCTAGTGTTTTAAGGTACAGTTATGAAATAGCCAAATTGTTACAAATTTCCTACAGAACTTCTCCTGATGTCTCTATAACTAAAGCATACTTTTACACCCCTGTTGTGCAAAAGTTGATTAAAGAAATTCAGAATTCCAATAAAGATTTAAAAGAATTTTTATAGCTTGATGATGTGTAAATATTAGTACATATTCACACTAGTCTGGTGAAATTGTTATGTATCTGTTAATATAAAATTTAAAATGGTTTCTGTGCTATAGGCTCCATGTTGGCAAATAAACATAATTTTTTTCCAAATGTAAGCTTCCTGAACTTTAAAGCCAGCAACCTAGGTCTTACTGGGAGCAAACCACTATTAAGAAAATATATTAAATGTATTTTTATTTAAATGAGATATGAACCTGTTTCTTTTTTTCCCTTTTCGTACTTCACCAATAAGCTTTTCTTAAAAACATTTGAATCTTTGGAAATTCTGCATAGCCCTTTGTTTATACAAATTCTGTAGGAAAATAGGTAATCAGTTATTTTATCTCCATAACTTCCACTTCTTTGTTTACTATGTAGGTCGTACTCTTTCAGATGTCAGCCATATTTCCAACATCAGTACAAGTTGCATAAATGAGTCAATATATAATTCAGTTCTTAATAGTAAAGTAGAGCCTACACTTGAAAATTTGGAAAATCTGGATGTCAGTGCATTTCAAGCACCTGAAGATTTATTAGATGGTTGTCGGGTATGTTTTTATTATGTAGTAAGTGATAATATATGTTAGTACTTTTCTAGTAGACTTGGAAAAACCTTCAAACTTCAGCTTCCTTGTTATCTATCTAACCCTCCATCCTAGCTAAGCAGATATATTCATTAGGTCATGTCCACCCTTTAGCTACCACGCTATCTCTGCCTAGGATCTACTTTCATCTTGTCATCTTTCAAAGTTCTTGTAAGCTGTTAGCTCTATTGTGAACCTTTCCAGCTACATTAAGCTTTCCATGTATTGTTTTTTGAAGGTACTCAACTTTCTGAACCACTGAATGAATTTTTAGTTTTGACTACCCTAAAATAAGTCTTTATAATACGCTACACATTGTGCTGATCATCTTAAGTGTGTTGTATAAAACCTTAAATTCCCACAAATAAGTCTAAAATGGCTATTATCCTGAAACTGAAATATAAAGGATTACAGTTCTTATTCAGTAACACTAAATAGCCAGCCATCTGCTACAAAGCCTATATAGCTCACCATTAAGTATATTGCTTTGCTTCATATCTCCATTTATTTTGTATATGAATAACCTAGTTATAAGTGCTTTGATAGAAACATTGTGTGTAGATACTTAGTATGCTATTTATAGAATGCGAAGAGTATGCATTAATTCTTAAAGACTAGCAGTGACTTAACCCTACTAGTTAAGGAAATTGGTTATATCACCTTATCTTTCTGTACTTAAAATAATTATCAATTATTGGCAAAACAGAAAACATGTTTAAAAGGACTAATTCTGGGTATGAATTATTTTCTATTTATGGGAACTACATGATTCCTAATTTCTGTCACTATTACAGTAATAGAGACTGTTTAACTTGGGGATCAAATTTGGGATATAATAAAATAGTTAAATAATTTGGGGTATATATAAAATAAATTTAGGTTGGGATATAAATATAGTTAGAAATATATGTGCATTCCTAAGAAATTTTTTTAAAACATTATATAAAATAGAGATGAAATGATTTATATATCGTTTAAGTTGGCTTAAATGTATACATACTCTATATGTATTTTAAAGATTTATTTTATTTATGCATATAAGAACTGTGTGTAGGCCAGAGGTGGGGGGGGGGTGCTGCTGAGAAATTTCATCAAAGACAGAGTGGGGAGCAGAACAAGCAGATTTACTGAAATAATACTGTTGAGGGAAGTAGTGGGCAAGACAGAGGTTTGCTGTGCCATTTGGGTCAGCTCCCAGGGGTCAAACTCATGCCACAGTGGCTGGTGATAGCTTGACAGTGCTGAGGCTTTAGTTCCTGTGCTACCAGGGAGGTGTACGTACTAATACTTAAAAATTATTGCACATGTAGTCCTTAAAGCTTGTGCTCAGGTCTTAGATTTACATTTTCTTGTTTAAAGGTATCTCCATTTAAAGGGAGGGAAATTGGTTTAAAGTACCAAAGTAGGCCTCCCTTGTGGTGGGATTAAGTCTCAGCACTATGAAGCTATCCAGAGCTCTCCTGTCTCACCTACTGCTCCCCTCAGCAGTATTTCATTCAGTTTACCTATTCTGCTCTGGTGAATCCTCTCACTCTCTACCCTCCAACCCCACACCTCTGGCCTACACCCCCGCTCTTATATGAACAAATAAATCTTTAAAAAATTAATAAAGTGCCTTAGTAACTTGCCTTAGTAACTTGGTGAGTCATTAGCAACTGAATCAACATTTGCAGTTTTTCTTAGACATTTAACTCCAATTATTCTGCAATTACTTCAAAATTTACAAGTAGTAAAAACTTTATAATTTAAGAGGCTACCTGTATGTAGAAGTTGCTGTGCTCTAATACTCAGATATTAAAGTCTGGCTTCTATTTCATCTAAGGTCCCAAAGTACTTACCAAATGCCTGCTGTGAAGGATAATAATGCTTGGAACTGTAAAGAAGTGCAAAATTTCAAAACATACTCCTTAATTATTTTTAAAAATACATAAAAACATACGGTGGATTTAGATGTTTTTCGTAAATATGTTTCTGTTGAGAAATAAACCATCTTGAACACACTAATCTAAAATATTTTCTTTCTTTACAGATATATCTTTGTGGTTTTAGTGGCAGAAAGCTAGATAAACTGAGAAGACTTATTAATAGTGGAGGTGGAGTTCGTTTTAACCAGCTCAATGAAGATGTAACTCATGTTATTGTGGGAGACTATGATGATGAATTGAAGCAGTTTTGGGATAAATCAGACTACAGGTTTTACCTTTTTTTATTTTGAAACATTTTCTCCTATAAAATAATTTTCTTAAAATTTCATGCAGTTTCCATAACTGCATGGCAAGTGGGATATGATGTCTTTATAGTTTAAACTGACATACAACTATGTACTATTTTTGTAGGCCTTATGTTGTGGGAGCAAAATGGTTGCTAGAATGTTTTAGTAAAGGTTACATGCTTCCTGAAGAGCCATATATCCACGCTAACTACCTACCAGTGGAAGTTCCAGTTTCAGATCAACCTGAAAGTAAAACAGCCCTTTTAAAAAAGCTCAGCAGCTTCTGTAAGAAAGACTTTGTTCCTAATGAAAAGCCTGAGCAAGCTGATGAAGATCTGCTCTCTCAGTATGTAAATAATAACTCAACAATAGGTAAGAAATACTTAATTAGTATTCAGTCATTAAGAAGTGAATTAGTAGCAGATTACACATACAGATGCATGATTTCTGCTGGGCTTTCTAAATTATAAATTTAAGTGACTTTTTCTTAAAGTGTTGTGTTTGTTTCCATCTGTTTTGTATACAGGCATCACTTGGTCTGTATGTGAGTTTTATTCTAACCTGTAATAGATGCTTGGTTATTGTGACCTTTCATGCATACAGTGCTGCAGTGTGGATTAACATTTCGAGATAGAGTATTCTTGTTGTGAGTCAGGAAATTGCCAGTGAAGAATTGTGAGCACTATTTCTTTTTAACAAAAAAAAACTTATTTTGGGCCCTCCTTGGTGGTGCAAGGTTAAACACTATGAAGCTATACATAGCCACTGCAGCAGAAGTTCCATCTCTGGCTAGAGAGGTGGCTTACATGACATGGCAGACCTCTCCTGTCCCGCCTGCTGCTTTCTTCAGCAGTATATTTTCATGGATCTGCCTGTTCTGCTCCCCACTCTGTCTCTGGTGGACCCTCTCAAACCCCCCTCTACACACACATACTGTCGGCCTATACCCCAGTTCTTGTATGCGTAGATAAATAAATCTTTTTTTAAAACTTATTATGTAATATTTAATACATGCAAAAACACAAATATTTCACTGTTCCAAAAACCTCTTGTGAATCTCTCCCCATTTTCTTTATAGCTTATATGTATATATTTAAACAATATATTATTTCAATTTGTCTATAGTGACTCACCCCAGTTCTCTAATTTTGCCCCAAATCACAATCATCTGGTTCCAAGATAATCTAGATTACTTTCAGAGTATACTTCAGGGTTGACACCCCTAACCCCTAAATACCAAGGTATTCAAGGACCAGTTTCTGTTGTCCTTATTTTTGTTCTTTTCTTAAAAAGAAACTGCTGTAGTCTAAGCTCTTGGGAGGTACTGTTTTGTTACTGTGTTTCTGTAATTGTTGTATAAGAAGTTATATATCAGTTTGTCATTCTTCTATACAAAATCTATTTTCTTAGATTTTTAAACATCTTTTGTTTTCCATGTCTGAGAGTTTTTACCATTTACTTCTCCTGCTTCTGCTTTTTTAATTGGATGGTTTTCTTTTTCTTTTTTTCTTTAAAGATTTATTTATTTATACATACATGGACTCTGGGGTACAGGCCAGAGCTGTAGGGAGTGAGAAGATTCAACAGAGACCAAGTAGGGAACAGAACAGGCAGATCTACTGAAACGTACTGCTGAGGGGAGCAGCAGGCAGGACAGGAGAGGTCTGCTGTGCCATGTGGGCCACCTCCCTGGCTGGAGATTGAACTCATGCTGCAGTGGCTGCAGATAGCGGCATAGTGCTATGCTTTAACCTGTTGCACCACCAAGGAGGGCCCAAATCAGATGGTTTTCTTAAAAAAAATTTATTATCTCTTTGAATACTGCTGAATATTCTCTTAGCTTCTGTTAGCCTTGTGCTTGGGTCACCTAACCTGTACTAATTTCTTGTCTTTATATTTCTGAGGTTCAGTGTGTAACTTCTTCAAATTTTTCCTTCTAAATCGCTTTAAACTTTCAAGTCTAGACATTCTAGTTCTTGCTAAATAATCTGTTACTTTGTATTCAGGTTTTTTTTTTAATTTGGGATTTTCTTTTTAAGATTTATCTATTTATGTATACAGAGCTAGGGTACAGGCCTGAGGTGCAGGGGTCATGAGAGGATTCACCAGAGACAGAGTGGGGAGTAGAACAGGCAAATTGAGGAAGTACATTGCTAAGGGGAGCAGCAGTCGAGACAGGAGAGGTCTGCTCCACATATAGATCACCTCTGGCACTGTAGCAGCTGCACTAGCTTGTGGTGCTGCACTTTAACCCATTGTGCCACCAGAGAGGGTTCAGGTTTTTTTTTTTTTTTTTTTTAAAGATTTATTTATTTATTCATACAGAACTGGGGTACAGGCCAGAGGCTCAGGGGCGGTGAGAGGCTTCACCAGAGACAGAGTGGGGAGCAGAACAGGCAGATTGACGAAGTACACTGCTGAGGGAAGCAGCGGGCGGGTCAGGAGAGATCTGGCTCGCCATGTGGTCTCCTCCGGGGCAGGCGGCAGGCGGGAATCGAACTCATGCGGAAGTGGCTTCAGATTCTCAGTGCTGCGCTTTAACCCGCTGCGCCACCAGGGAGGGCCCAGGTTTTTATTTTTTAAAACACATTAAATCATTGCATCTGAATGGAGACGGAGTAGTTCTCTTGACTGCTCTTCTGATTTCCAGTATTTATTATAAATTCATTCTTATTGGGACTCTGAGGACTCTTAACTTGTCTGCGGTAAAAGCTTATTCTTCAGTACTTCTAAGTTCATTGACTGGGAATTTCTTGAACCAAAGGGCTGTGTAAATTTGTACCCTGGCCTATTTGAGGACTGAGATATTAGGACAGATTCCCAGGAGACATGGTTTCCTGCTTGATCAAATGCCAAAAATTGTCAAGCACCTGTGTCATCTCCTTTGCAGGATGGATAGTTTGTTGCTGCTGTTTGGTTTAGGTCTATGTGTGTAAATGAAGACAGTTGGCCTTATAGACTTTCTGGGTTTGTTTCCTCAGAGTAGTCTGCTTCTCCTCTAATTGACTACTGTCCTTCATGTGATAGCCTTAAATTCAGAGTCTTGATTGGGGCCTCCTTGGTGATCTGAGGGTTGCATGTCAGTACTACCATCATGATGCCTGGGTTTGATCTCCCATCAGGGTGCTGGCCCGTATGTGGTGAAACAGACAGGCCTCTCTTTGGCTGTGTGTTTCAGTGGAACTGCCTGTTCTCCCCACTGTCCTGATGGGTCCTCTCACCCCTATACCCATTTCACCCTACCCCACTCCCTAGCCCAGTTCTGCAGAAAATAAAAATCTTTAAAAAAAAAAAAAAAAAAAACAGTCTAGACTACTGCCAAAATAGATTCAGGGTGACCATGAGCTTTAATAATCACTTAAAACTCCAGATTCATGTTATTACTTCATTTTTGGTCCTTGAAGATTTCCCTTGCTTTCTTGCAAATATAGTTGTACATTTCTTAAGGATGCCTTTAATATTTTATTCTGTATTTTGGCTGTTTATAGTGAAATAGTAGTGAATGTCTAGCCTACCATATTTCTAGAAGGGAATTTCCTTTATTTTTTTTTTAACTATACTATTTTTGTGTTGTAATGGAGAATCGATGTTAGTTAAGCCATTTGCTTAGGATAATCTAGTGTAAAGAAGCAATGGAGTGATTTAAAGCAGTTTTATATACTTCTTCAAAAAGGCAAGTGATTCAAATTTAAAAACCTTTTGATAGCTTTTGGTTTGTTGACTTGAAAGGATTAGTGACAGTAAATCTCAGTGAATCCCTACGCCCCTTAGAAAGAATGCAATCAAGTATTTTATAATTCTTAATTCTTTTAAAAGCAAAATTACTTTTAAAAGCTGTTTTTTGATAATAGGTTTATCAGGAAGTATCTTCTGGACTTCTAAATGAAATCTGTTTGTAAAAGGTCCTACTGGTAAAATAAATGGAAACAACTGCTATAGTTCATGTTAACCTATACAGTCTTAATAACACCAAGATTTTAAATGTATCTGCAGGGAGATAGGATGATCACAGAATTTCCCCCATGATGAGGCTTATACGTGAATGATGCTGACCCTTATGATTTCCCCAGACATGGGAAGTTGGGTTGTATAAACTGGTCACTGTATAACATCATTCCAGTTGCCATCCCTTTATTTTTAAAGATTATTTATTTGTGTATACGAACTAGGGTACAAGCCAGAGGTGTGGGGGATGAGAGGGTTCACCAAAGACAAAGTAGGGAACAGAACAGGCAGATCTACTGAAACACACTGCTGAGGAGAGCAGCGGGCAGGACAGGAAAGGTCTGCTGCACCATGTGGGTCACAATCCCCTGGCTGGGGATTGAACTTGGTGCTGCAACAGCTGCAGTTAGCTTTGCAGTACTGCACTTCAACCCATTGTGCCACCAGGAGGTCCCTTTCTCCCATTAAAAAACAAAACAAAACATCTTCAGTTTACACACAGTTTATAAGACCTTAGTTGTCTAAAATTCTACTATCTGTCTTCCTTCCCATCTTGCCAGCAGTAAACATCAAATTGGGAATTTTTTTTTCTCCTAGATGTGATTGCAAAATAAAATTGAAAGAAAAACCAAGACACCTGTTTTATACTAAAATAGCTGTTAAGCTTTTCAGAATTTTTTATAGTATTATGTCATTTTATTTCCATCTAAAGCTTATTCATCCTCATATATAAATCAAGTGTACCATTATCCTTTATTCCTGATAGTAAGAACTGAGGTTCAAATACTTTTCTGACCTGCCTACTGATTAGTAATAAATGCTTTGGACAGTTTTATTTTGTCAATCTGAGTAAAAGCAATTAAAATACTTGTGTTGAGTAGAAATTATAAGTTATGTGTGTGTGAATATTTAGTTTTAAAACAAAAATGTTTGTTAGAACTGAGGATAGAAGACAGCACTATTACATGATGACTCTGGAGTTAGACTTCAGTTTATATATCATTTGTACCACTTCATAACTGTGTGACCTCAAGCAAGTTACATAACTTCTGTAAGCATGAGATTCCTCTTAAAGAGTATAGGTACACCAATTTGACCTCATAGTAGTATAAAACACTTAGGCACAGTATCTATGTAAATGAAGAATCCTTGAATATTGTCCATACTTGTCAGCATCCTATAAAGCAATACTCAGCATACTTTTTTTGTAAAGGGCTAGATGGTAAATATTTAGACCTTGCCTGCTGCATCCTGTCTTTGTCACATTCTAATTTGTTTGGTTTATACGACCCTTTAGAAATATAAAAGCCATTTGTAACTACAGACTTTGGCCCAGTTTGACTGGTAGGCCATAGTTTGACAATTCCTACCACAAAGTGTTACCTTCTAACACAGCTCCTCAAGAGTTTTAAAAACCATATTAAGGTTTGTATTTGCTGTGTATTAGGAGACTGTCTTTTTGTTATTGACATTGATAAATTTATGTAGCTGTTTTTTTCCTGTTAACATCTCTTAGCCAACTTTACCCTAAAAAGAAATGGTTCAGATCTTTTTGTTGGGTTTTGGTCAGTTGTTCTTTATGAAATGTTTAGGAAGCTAAGTTGAAACATTTTAGGAATTTTTTGAAAGCAAGGTAACCACACATGAGGCCTCCCTGCTAGTGCAGGGGTTAGTTTCAGCACTGTCAAGCAGTCACCAGCCACTGCCGCATGAATTCAGTCCCTGGTCAGGAAGCTAATCCACGTGGTGCTTTCTTATATACTGCTCTCTTCTTTCTTATATACTGCTCCCTTCAGCAGTGTATTTTCAGTAGATCCAACATGCCAGTTCTTGTGTGCATAAATAAATAAAAAGAAATCTTTAAAAAAAAAAATGAGGTGGGGGGAACCACAAATTTCTTTTATTGCATTTGTATATTTGCTTTCATGTGAAAGACTACTTAAGCCAGTTGTTATTTCTTTTCTCATGGAGCAGGCTCATGGAACTTTTTTTTTTTTTAAGATTTATTTGCTTTATGCATACAAGAGCTGGGGTACAGGCCAGAAGTGCTGGGTGAAGAGAAGATTCACCAGGGACAGTGTAGGGAGTAGAAAAAGCCGACTGACTGAAATACAGTGCTGAGGGAAGCAGTGGGGGACAGGAGCGATCTGCTATGCCATGTGGGTCACCTCCCTGGCCAAGGCTTGAACTCCTGTCGTGACTATAGCTAGCTTCATAGTGCTGTGCTTTAACTGGTTGCACCACCAGGAAGGGCCCCCTCATTGGAACTTCTTAATTTTCAACTGACTAGGGTTTCTGATACTTTAGCAATAAATAGAATAGAAATATGGTTGTTGTCCTTTCTACTGGAAGGTGGTTTATTGATAACATTCTTAGTAACCCAAAAGATGAGGTGTATTTGTATCTTTTGTTGTGTGCTTTTAATATCTGAGTTTTCTAAATAGGATCATAATTCTCATATAATACTGATGTCTTGCTAGGAAATAAGCTTTAGTTATTCGATAAATTATATGTTAGAAAACATTTGTTTTTCTCTTCTAGTTGAAACTGTGAAGTCTGAAGTTGAACCTCTTAGTGATTCTACTCATATTTCTCTGCAAGAAGAAAATCAATCTTCCGTCACTACCTGCCTCCCGGACACTTCTACAGTTGCTGAAGAAGGTTTATTTAGCCAAAAGAGTTTCCTTGTCTTGGGTTTTAGTAGTGAAAATGAATCTAATGTTGTGAATATCATAAGAGAAAATGCTGGAAAGATTGTGTCCCTTCAGAGTAGAATTGTTGCTGATTATGCAGTGGTTCCTCTACTGGGTTGTGAAGTGGAAGCAACAGTGGGAGAAGTTGTTACAAATACATGGCTGGTAAGAAAATACTGTAGTATAAGAAATGTAGTATTAAAGGCTATCTGAGTGCCAAGAGTGTTAATGTTTTTATCTTATGCAGCTCACTTTAGGTTATTTGGTATTTGGATTTGAATAGTGTTTGGATTTTGCTTTTAGCAAGAAAAATTCTAAAATATGAAGATACCTAAGCTTCTTGATCCTAATCCTGGTAGAGGCTATTATTTTCCAGGGGCCACAGCAGCAACATTCCTCCTTATGAACTTATTCCAGGTTATTTCATACTATTTCACTCTTCCATTTTCTTATAATCAAAATATAACTTGCACTTTTGTATTAGCCCATCTTTTTGACGTACCACGGTTAATTTCAGCATTAACTTTTTTTTTTAACTCACCAAAAATTAAGAAAAATTATAAAGTAATATAGTAGCAGAAATTAAAATTAAAATAATATTCAGGGAGGGGGGGGAAGTAAATATTGTATAAAGTGAACAATAATGTAAATAAATACATAAAAATAAATTTCAAAAATAGTGACTTCAGTAATACTCTGATTTTATATTTCTTTAGGATTATAATTTGAAATGTATTGAGAATGAGCATAAGCAGGTCTATAGTAAACTTTTTATCTAAGCCAAAGTTACTACTGCAATTTAACCAATGTTTACTGCTGGCTTGCTTATTTCTGTAGTTTGATATTAGTTTCTATTTTGTTAAAAGGTAACCTGCATAGACTATCAGACTTTAATTGATCCAAAATCAAATCCTCTCTTCACGCCAGTCTCAGTAATGGCAGGAATGACTCCTTTAGAGGAGTGTGTCATTTCATTCAGCCAGTGTGCAGGAGCAGAAAAAGACTCTTTGACATTCTTAGCGAATCGCCTAGGGGCAAGGTATGTAATAATTTTATGTTTTCATTTATTGGAGAACTTTCAAGTTAGAATTCACCTGGGTGCCTTTTATAATGTTAATGGGTTATATGTAGTATATATCTGTGTGATGTTTTAATGTGGACAGGAAGATCTGAATACCTGATAGATATTAAAGCTATAAGCATTAGTGGTTACCTGCCAAGAAAGGGAATATTTAAACTAATTGATGGGCCAGTATTGAGTATTGCTTGTTAAAACAAAGTTCTCTTCCATGTGCCATGTCAATGATTTATTCTTTCTTTAAAAAATATATTTGTTGTTCTTTCAACAAGAAATAACTAAAAAGAAACTTAAAAAAAAGTTAAATGGGAGTGCATTTAAAAGTGAAAAAAAAACCCCACAGAAGTTGCCGTTTTAATGCCAAACAAGTTTGGGTTCAAATCAAAAGGCATTAAATAATAAATAGAAGAGCATTGTGAACAGGGCAAATAGAAAACAAGGAAGAACATAAATTTAAATAGCATAGTTAGATACCTACCCTGGAAGAGTAAACATGCCTTTTCAAATGCTTGTGGAACAATGTAAAAAAATTGATCATAAAGAAAACCTGGGTACATTCCCTAAAGTAGAAAGAATGCAGACTGTATTCTCTAATCACAGTGCAAAAATGTAGAAATAATAGCAATTGAATATGAAAAGGTATCAGTAAAACTTTTTAATAGTTATTGGTTCAGAGAGAAATTAAAAACTATAAGCCTAGAAATCATAACACAATGATAATAGCCAAGCCAAGTACCCAGATTGTTATCTTAAAAACATTTCACAGTGAGATATTATCTAGCTAAAAATAGTTAATCTAGATCTGGATTAGAAAATGTATCTGAGGGCCTCTGTGGTGGCACAAGGGGCATAGCACTATGAAGTTGTCTGAAGCCACTGCAGCACGAGTTCAGCCCCCAGCCAAGGTGGTGACTCACATGGTGTGAGAGACCTCTCCTGACCCACCCGTTGCTCCCTCAGCAGTGTACTTGGTCGACCTCCCAGTTCTGCTCCCCATTCTGTCTCGGGTGAAACCTCTCACCACTCCTGCACCTCTGGCCAATAACCCAGTTCTGTATGAATAAATAAATCTTTTAAAACAAAATGTACTTTGTAAAACCTCACAAAATAGTGTTGCTATGTAAATAACAGAGTCCAGTGAACAAACACAAAGTCTAGAAATTCTCAAATACAAATAGGAATTTAGTATGATAAAAATGGCATTTCAGGTTACTGAGGAGGGATAATTTATTCAATTAGTAGGATTCAATAAAATTGGTGTCACATTTCATACCAAAGTACCAAATGGATCAGTGGGATTATTGTGTGAAAAATAAAATACTCAAACACATGGCATTAAAAAAATATTACAAATAGGAAATTAGAATATTAAGTTCAGATAACTTAAGTGGTGAACTTGTTTCTTTCCCTTTTTCTGTTTAATAACTTGTGATGTTGAACAAATCAAATTCTCTATCTTTTCCTAGGTTTTATCTTTGTAATATTTTATAAGATTTTAATACGTCATAAATATTGAGAAGATCAAATGAGATTAGAATGAAATGCTTTGAAAAATTATAGTAGGCTAAAAGGATATGATGTGTTATTCAAATGCATTCTTTGCTCCATGCCTCCTTGGAGGAAAGAACAAGGTGGGTGGGCAATGACTGATTAAAGTTTAATTGTATCAGTACATTTTTATCCTAGAGTAGAGTAAGCATTTATAAGGAGATTAGCTTAATTTAAGATAGAATAAACCCACTTTTAATCATTGTATTTTGTTAGTACTCCAATGAGACTTTCATTTAGGAATTTTGTTTTTAGCTTGCTGGCCAATTTTGATCTTTGCTTTCCTTTAATATAACTTTCAGTGTTCAAGAATTCTTTGTTCGCAAATCCAATGCAAAGAAAGGCATGCTTGCCAGTACACATCTTGTATTGAAAGAACCAGGTGGTTCTAAATATGAAGCTTCTAAGAAGTGGAATTTACCAGCAGTTACCATCGCTTGGCTCTTGGAAACTGCTAGAATGGGAAAGAAAGCAGATGAAAGCCATTTTCTGATTAAAAACTCACCTAAAGAAGGTTAATACTCTTATCCTATTTTTTTATATAAAATATTTTTAAACAATTTGATGGTTTCTGTGATGTAACTATGCCAAATTTTGTTGTTAGAAAGGTCTTTAGGTGCTGTGAGCTACTGTTAGGCATTCATTGAGTGTCAAATGCTGCATAGGACAAATGTGCCTCTTTTCTGTGCTATAGAGGGTAGGCACAGTCTAAAAACTAGAGGATACAGAACATAAGGATTCTGGTATATCTCAGCATTTGAAGTATAACAGTGTAAGCTTGGATCTCTATTTGTTCCTCTTTCTGTGCCTCACACTGATATAATCAATATGCTCTGTCCTTTCATTTTTGAACCTTGCATGTCCAGACTTCCTGCTAGCCTCATGTTTGCCTGTTCTTTCTTATTTTCAATTCTTTCTCTGAGCATGTCACTTTCTTGAGGAGCCTTCCTTGACTCATCAAGTATGGTCTTGCCATAATACCCTGTTTATTTTCCTTCCTGTCTGCTCAGTTGTAATCTCTTGAGAAGATGGGGATGGTATATGTCTTGTGCACATGTTTCCATTGTCCAGCACTGGGTCTGGTATGCAGCAATCATCAATAGATGAAAAAAGGTGGGAGGCAGGGGTTGGGAGACACAGTAACAGTAGCCCCTTGTTAGATGGTGGCATCCCTGGGGAAACTTCAGGGGCAAGTCAGCAAAATATTATTTGATCTCAAAATATTATGTACCAAACAATATTATGTACCAAACTAACAATTTTACAGTTAAGGCAAAAGTGATCTTTAGATCATATTAAGGTCATTCCAAAAACTTGACTGTCATTCTTACTATGAATCTATATAATTGGAATTTTTGGTTTTTTCTGCCCTTGATTGAGATGGCTTTTGTTTAAACAATTTAATAATTCTGAAATTACAGTTCTGAGGTTTATTAAGAATGTTTCAAATTAATGGCAAGATGAAACAGGAAATCTAATCTCATTATTTATTTCACATTCTTATCTAAACCTGTATTTTAATATATCATTTGATTTGCTTCTTGGAAAGTGGATACAAAACTTTGTGGTTTAAACTGTACATGAAATTTCACAGGGAAGCTCTAAGGTATAAAAACATCAGCTCTTTAGGATAAAAGAGTGGTTCACATTTGTCTCTTTTCATTTTAAATCTCTAGAACAAAGTTTGGAAACTGAAATAACAAACGGAATGAAACTAAATCAGGATACTCCAGAGCATCCTGTCACACAACTGGAAACTCACAGAACTGTTACACCATTAGATATGAACCGTTTTCAGAGCAAGGCTTTTCATACCGTCATCTCACAACACAGTGGACAGGCTCCAGTCTCCCCAGCAGTGGGACAGGCCTTTCAGAAGGAGCCCTCATTGCATCTGGATACACCATCAAAATTCCTGTCGAAGGACAAGCTCTTCAAGCCTTCCTTTGACGTGAAGGTAGGGTTTAAAGAAAATGGTTCTGGTCTTACCAGTTGTATAGCTTATGCAGTTAGCACTCCAATTTCTAGGGATGTTGCTAAACAGATTCATATTATTGAGTCCCGGTATATACACAGTATTCGGGTAGCGGAGAAATGCGTGGTCTGAAATCAGGATGTCAGAAAGTCAGAACAGTGGTGAGCTTGGAAACTAAGAAAATCCCCAGAGTGAATTTCTGGTTGTGTGTTCCTTCTCCTGGCCATTGCATTAGCGATTCTGGTTTCTGCACAGGTTTCTAATCTTTCTATAGCTTGCTCACCCTTCCTGAAACCTGTCCTAAAGCAGACATCTTCTCACCCATGGTGGCTTAAGGTTTTAGGAATTTTAGGTTTAATTGTTTAGGAACTTTACTGAATAGTTTTAGTAATGTCTTTTGTCTCTTTTTTTTGTGATATGGAAAATAGTATTTCATCTCCTTATTCAGTGATGTAATACGGTATGTTGGATTTTTTTCACTCTGAAAACAAAAGGGCACGTGGAATAATGAAAACATGAAATGTACAACAGGCGTCACCAAGAAAAAAACAAATCACTTTTTTTTTTAAATAATGAAGCATTTTCTATTCTTTTTTAAAAGCTTTATTATTTATTATTTATGCACTGGGATGTGGGGGGTAAAAGGCTTCACCAGTAAGAGTGGGGAGCAGAACAGGTGGATCTACTGAAATACACTGCTGAAGGGAGAAGAGGGTAAGACAGGTCTGCTGTGCCCTGTGGGTCACCTCCCTGGCTGGGGATAGCTTCATAATGCTGTACTTTTATCCCTTATGTCACCAGGGAGGGTACCCACCTTATGTTTTAATTGACACATCAAGAAAGTACAACAAATGTATATGCTGCTAAGTACAAATATTAACAGATACCATTGCTGATGCTGCAGAATCTTCCTCATGCCTTTTCCCCATTTGTACTTCCTCTTCTCGAAAGGTGACATTCTTAACTTTTTTTTAATTATATATTTTTTAATACTTACTTATGCTTATAGGACTGGGGTACCAGCCAGAAGTGCAGGGGTGGTGAGAGGATTTACCAGAGTCAGAAGTGGGCAGCAGAACAGGCAGAGCCACAAAGTACACTGCTTAGGGGAGTAGTGAGCAAGACAGAGGTCTGCTGCACCGTGTGGATCACCTCCGGGGCCAGGGATCAAACTCACACTGAAGCAGCTATTGCTAGCTTGCAGTGCTGTGTTCTAACCCGTTGTGCCATCAGGGAGGGCCAATTACTTTTTTTTTTTTTTACATCATTCTTCATTTTGTGCATTTTTCCATCTCAGTTGTAATCCCATGGCTTTCCACCATCCATTCACCCGTGTGCCATCACCACAGTCTGGTACATTCCTGACTTCTAACACTGCAGCTTTGTTGGTGCTTCTTTTTGATAGGTAGAATGCGTGTGTTCTTTTAAGTCACTCTGTCTTGGTCAGCCTCCTTTTGGGACATTTACTACTGCATAATACTACATTGTATGATTGTACCACAGTCATATTCAGTCAACTATTACGAATATTCAGGTGATTACTGGTTTTTTGCTTTGCACTTTCTTGTGCACATCTTTTGGTGTGTGTACATGCATTTCCTTTTCATATATCCCTAGAAGAGAAATTGCTGAGTCCTCTTTGAACTCTAGTAGATACTGAAAAACTATAGACCTAAATTTCCACCAGTAGTATATCCGATATCCAGTGTTCCCCATTCTTGCCAACAAGGTATGTTGTTTTTAAAGGACATTTTTATAGAAATAATTTCTAACTAGCCCAAAAAAAAGAAAGTAGTTAAAGGAATACTAATCTGCCCTTTAATCAGATGTGTAGATTTATCATTGATTTCCATATTGAAGGACTTTATATTTAGTTTCTACTTTTAATGTATTAAGTCAGTTTTGCTTGTAGTATTTCACAGAACTTCCTAGTGTTTTCCTTGTACCCTGCTATGTGATTGTTTTTTTAAAACATTCCTTGAATTTTCAGAACATTTCAAGAAAAGGCAAATTTTCTATCTTAAGGGCACAGTGTTCAGTATATATCCAAAAGATCTAAGGTCTAATATTTATTTTATGTTCTTTGTTTGCTGGATCCATTGAATACAGATTGGTAATTTTCAAGTTTCCTAATATTGCCATATTTCTGTTTGTCCTTGGATTTCATGTGTCTGTTTTAAAAGGATAGTTGCCAGTAGTTAATTAGTTCATAGATATTTGTCACTGTTAAGTGAGTTTGAATGTGTCTGCTTGAAGTCTACTTTGCTCTCAAGATTTCAATCCCTGTTCTTTTACTTGCCTCATAAATAAATCATTCCTTCATTTTTAGCCTTTTTGGATCATTGTATTTTAAGAATGTTTCTTGTATACAACATAAAGTTGACTTGTACATTATGAGTCAGTTTGAAAAAATTTGGTCTTACATTTAGTCTCAATTCTATTGTGTTATATTGTGATTATTATCTATATGTGCATATTATGTTTTTTTCGTGTATTGCCTTTGCTTTTGTGTTTTTTGGTTTTTTTGTTTTTTTTTTTAAGGAAAGGGTTTGTTTTTCATGGTTATCTTTGTATTAATATTTTATAGTGTCCTTATTCCTTTTTAGTTAACCTTTTGTCAGTTTTACATTGTGATTTTTTTAATTGCTGCTTACTGCTCTCTTGCAGTCAGTGATCCTATTCTCCTTACCCCTTTTACTGTTTCTAAGCTACATATTTCTACTTTCTCAGAAAATAAAATGTTTGTTTTTCACCCCATGGGCCTTTTCCCTGTTTTAATCTTAAATCTACAATAAAAAATAAGCAACGTTGACTGTTAACACAACACCCTTCCTTGGTCATCCCTGTCATCATTTGGTGGGAGGAAGGTTGTCCTTTCGTGGGCTCCTCAGGAAGGGCATGTGGACACACCCTTTATGCACATGTCATGTCTCTGTTGCAGAGTTGCCTGAGTGTACACATTTATGGCTTTATTGTGGCCTGAATTCTTTGATACACTGTTTGGATATACTCTTCTGGGCTGCTTTCTGTTTTGTTTTGTTCTCTTGATCTTCCTGAAAATGCTGTTCTTTTGTAGTTTGTTTGCTTATCTCTTTCTTTGTTTATACTTGCTTCCATCTGTGCTTTTTGTTTGCCTTTGTGTTTGTTTCTTGGTATCTTTCAACTGCATCTTCAACCTTATGAATCAAGCATATGTGGCGATAAGCGTGGCTGAAAACTTAAACTCGTCAGTCTCTCAAGCAGTTTGCTGGAGGGTATGGAATCTTTCATGATAGATTGCACATAAAGATCATTATTTCTGTTGTTTAAAGCTATAACCCAGTTGGTTTTGAGAATTGTTCCTTTCTCTACCCTTCTTCTTTTTGTTTTCTCTGACTCTTTCTCCATTGAATATAGGACGCACTTGCAGCCTTGGAAACTCCTGGAGGTCCAAGCCAGCGTAAAAGAAAACTGAGTACACCACTTTCAGAAGTCATTGTCAGAAACTTGAAACTGGCTTTGGCAAATAGCTCTAGAAATGCTGTCACTCTTTCTGCCAGCCCTCACCTGAAGGATGCCGAGTCAGATAAGGTAAAATTCAATTTCTTTTTAATAAGAAACTTGAGATTGAAAAATCCAAGCAGTAATAGCTGATCTGTTTCTTTTATTTTTTTATGGACAGGAAGAAGCTCCAAAGCCACTTCACAAAGTGGTGGTATGTGTTAGTAAAAAACTCAGTAAAAAGCAGAGTGAGCTAAATGGGATTGCAGCCTCCTTAGGAGCAGATTACAGGTAGTTGCCACACCTTTAATTTCTATTTTACTGCTTTGGAGACATGTATTATCAGATCTTCTCTCCACCTGAGGTCTGATCAGAGGCATGTCTCTAGCACAAATGGCATTGAGATGTCCTGTGTCAGTAATGCTTCTCAAGTGCTAGCCTTTTTCATCACTTGTATTCAGCCATTCACAAAGAGCATAATGACTGGTTTTACAAATAACATTTGAGGAATATGATTAACTTCATCTTCTCCTTTGATAGGACTTACTTCTGTTGATTTTCTATTTGATAAGTTAGATCAAGGGAATACAGAAAAAAATTCCTGTGAGTTACAGGTCTTTAATGCATCTGTTGTAGAAGAGTAAAACTTTTTTTAATAATATAATAGTTTATTTTTACATCATTTTGTGCATTTTTTCATCTCAGTTGTAATCCCCGTGGGCTTCCCATCACCAAATCACCCATGTGCCATTACCATGTCCAGTGCATTTCCTTCCCCCTACTGTTTTTGATCCCATTCCCCACTCCACCCCCCCTAAAATGTCTCTGGTATATAGCTGTTCATTATTATTATTATTATTTTCTCACCTGGTCCATTATACTCGTGCTATAAGTAAAACCATCTGGTATTTTTCCTTTTCTTTCTGACTTATTTCACTAAGCTCCATCCAGGTTGCTGGAAAAGACATGTGTTCACTTATTTTTGGTTGCTGAGTAATATTCCATTGTGTATCTCTATCACACTTTTTTTTTTTTTAAAGATTTATTTATTCATACAGAACTGGGGTACAGGCCAGAGATGCAGAGGGTGAGAGGATTCACCAGAGACAGAGTGGGGAGCAGAACAGGCAGATCGACGAAGTACACTGCTGAGGGGAGCAGCGTGCGGGTCAGGAGAGGTCTGCCGTGCCACGTGGTCACCTCCGGGGCAGGCGGGAATCAAACTCATGCGGAAGCAGCTTTAGATTCTCAGTGCTGTGCTTTAACCCGCTGCGCCACCAGGGAGGGCCCTATCACACCTTTTTAATCCAGTAATCTCCTTTTGGGCATTTGGGCTGTTTCCATGTCTTTCCAGTTGTAAATGAAGCAGCAATAGACATGGGGATGCAGGTGTCTTTTTGAATCAGTGTTTTTGTGTCTTTTGGGTAGACACCTAGGAGTGGAATTGCTGGGTCATATGGAAGTTCCATGTTTAGCAGTTTGAGGAACCTCCAAACAGGAAGAGTAAAACTTTCTTAAAACTGTTACTAATATTATTGTATGGTAATTATTACATCTACATTAGCTGGTTGCTGAACACATAGTAAGAGGCAAACATTTTGTTTCATACTTGTCAGAATTGAATGTGTCCTTTGATACTCTATTTGAATGTGAATTTGATTGATGTAAGACTTAGAAATATAGGACATGTGGGTTTCATAAATGCCAGCCCTCTCTGTATGAAAGTAGACTGTATTGCTGAAATTTCTAGGTAGGTGTGCAGAGTTAATAATATGTATGTGTTCGTAGGGTAACCAATTCTCAAGTGAAGATTCCCAGGTGTTTCTTGGATATGAGGGCCACACCATCCTAAAGAGATCATCTGATGCTGTCTTCCACCTTTCGATAGTTAAACACATACACTAGAGCTTTTCAGCACATCAGCAATAGCTTCCTTGTTATTACAAATATTTATATAGTTTTCTTTACCAAAATGAATTTCATAAATACAACATACTTTTACAATAAAAAAAAATGTCAAATAAGTCATTTAGGGATAGAAGACTATATAATATATGTGCTTTTGTCTGATGATGCCAGAAGAAAATGAAGTATTCATGTTTACCTGTAATACCTCAAATGCTATAGCCACAGGCTGAAACCAATGAAGACCCAGGTTATCAGAAGCAGCCTTTCTACTGGCAATATGTTACCAAAAGTTGACAGTTTTGAAAAGTTCCAAATCAAGCAAAATTCTTTCATCAGTTTATTAAGTGGCTGCACCGAGTCTGGTAAATAATGTATATTAAAACTGCAGAAATAATTTATTTACTTAAAAGAAGATCCTAGACTCAACTAATTATTTTTTTTCTGACCTGTGCAAATACTAGATATGAGAAAATTGCATAGGATATAGGATCGTTATGTACATGACTGTTTTCCAGAATTCCTGGCATCCCTAGACCTTACCTATTAAATGTTAATAGCACCCCTCCTCCCAGTGTACACACACATTATTCATCCCCATAAATTTTCAAATTAACTTGTAAGGTAAAGAAAAAATTTTGATGAAAACTATTCTAGATAAAGGGCTGGGCAGGCCATTGCTCTGTTTTTGTAGTTTTATTGGAGCAATCTTGCCTGGTTTTTTATGTATTTATGGCTGCTTTCATCCAAGCAAGGCAAGAGTTCAGTAGTTGTGAAAGGGATTGTTTGCCCTGGAAAGCTTAAAATAAAATATCCTCTGACCTTTTTATCATCTGGTCTTTCAAGGAAAAATTTGTCAATCCCTAAGTTAAACTATCTAACTATTGAAAGTCTGTCCTTGAAGGACCTCTGAAGACTAAAAATCACAGTTCTCATATTATCACAGCGGAATTGAATAGCTAAACAAGATGACTGAGATAAAAAATATCCTCTGGATAAGTATTCCTCTCGATAATTTATTTTAACCTGCCTTATTTTACCCCATAGTAGAAAAACTTAACTAAATCAAGCAAGGCATCTCACTGTTTTTAAGGATATATGGGTAGTAGGAAATAGAGATGTATCTAATCTAAGAGAAAATACTATGTTTTAATTTAACTTGGCTATTTAGAAAGTTCAGGGATGATTCCTAATTAGGAAATGGGAAGTATAGTAAATGTCCATAAAGGAGAATTTCTATTTTGGTGATTTCACTTAAGAATAAAACTTTTACTTCATCTTCAAAGAATGATATATTTTACATGCTACGTACTTTCCTAGGTCAGGACAGTATTAAATGGGCAGAAATCATAGCATAGTATACTAGTTAGAGTGTGGTTTTGTAGTCAAACCTAATTCTGCCTCTTACTGAATATCCTTGAACTGGCTATTCAATGAATATCCTTGAACTGGCTATTCAACCATTCAACCTTCTTTGAATGGAAGAAGAATTTAAAATACCAGTGTTTTAGGATTATCATGAGGAGTGGATGCAATAATGCAGTGAGAAGTATGTAATCTATGTGGGGCATAGAGCAGATGCATTATGAATAATGATTTCCTAAAGATGGAGTGCAGTTGGATGTCCTGCTATTTGATAATTTGAAAATACCTTTTACTGGAAAGTAAAAGCAATAATTATTATAAAAGAGAAAGTTGAAATAGTATACTCTTTTTAAAAACATTCAAATATCTCCACCCATTATGTATATACATCCATAGACAAAGATGTACACATAATTTGACCAAAAAAAGTAGACTGTTACTTAATGTTCTTGCTTACTGTCGTCTGTGAAAGTCAAAATGTTCTATTCCTAGTGACTAATGATCATCTTCAGTTAATGTAGTTGCTTCTCTTAGTTATTTGTGGGTTTTTTTTTTTAATTTGGTTGTTTTCAGGTGGAGTTTTGATGAAACAGTGACTCATTTCATCTATCAAGGACGGCCAAATGATACTAATCGAGAGTATAAATCTGTAAAAGAAAGAGGAGTACACATTGTTTCAGAGCACTGGATTTTGGAAGTAAGCAATACCTATTTTCCTTCTGTCTCTGTTAAATGAAAATATGCACAAACCTGTTTTTTCAAGGCACAAACCAGTTTCAATATGTAAATAAGTTTGATGACCTTACTTACCTGTGCACTTTCATTTCATTAACATTAAAAACAGGTTTTTGTTTTTGAAGCATTTAAGCATTTCTTAAATGCTTAACAAGTCTTTGATGATACTTTTCCTGATTCTGTTCACTAATTACAAATGGTAGAAGAAGGAAAGAAGGAAGGCAAAGGGTAAACTGTTTGGTGATGGTGGGAAACAGAATTCTGGTGGACATACAGCAACAAGTACAGAAATTGATTAAAAAGCTGTATTACTGAAATCTAGTCAGTGTTTTAAAGCATTACTGTTTTCCGCTTTTTAAGAGACTGAATATTAAAGATGGAAAAATACTATGTAAAAAACTTTATATTAGAATTAATTTAGCATACTAATAACTTTTAAAAGTTCCTTTTTTTCTCCTTGTTTTCTCTTTCTCTTGGCTCTTCTCTGGAGGATGGTTGCTATCTTGGTAAAAGCACAGAAACAATTTGGTTTTATGCTTTAGTGGACATGACATTAGAAAGTAGGGCAACTGTCATTTGTATGATGGAATTTTTCAGTGCTGGCTCATTGTTGAAATTTTTATTTTGTGAACTTCTGTTGTCTTAGGACATAATATATTGACTGTCCTTATTCTGTTCAACATCATTATTCACTAAGTCTTTTGTACAATCATGTTTTAAAAATACACTATTGTCATCATTGTCATTGCAGTGTGCCCGAGAATATAAACATCTTCCTGAATCTCTCTACCCACATACTTATAATCCCAAAATGAGCTTGGATATTAGTGCAGTACAAGATGGGAGACTCTGTAATAGTCGACTCCTCTCAGCTAATTCTACAGCAAAGGATGATAAGGTAGATAATAAAGATAAAACACCCATTTATTGTAAGCTAAATGTATAATTGTATTTATTGCTGTGAAACCTTGTACAGTGGCTTAGTTTGAGAATTTTTTTTTTTTTCATTTAAAAGCCAGATCATTTGCCTGTAGAAGAAAATATTGATATAGACAATATGACCACCAGTAATAAAGAATCAACAACATCAAGTGGAAATGGAAACAATGACTCTAAAGGAGGTACAATATTTTAAACTACAAAAAAAGTTTTGTTTTTTTTTTAAATGATTTATATATGCATACAAGAACTGGGTACAGACCAGAGGTGGAGGGTGCAGAGGATTCCCCAGAGACAGAGTAGGGCGCATAGACAGATGGACTGGAATACACTGCTGAGGGGAGCAGCAGGTGGGTCAGGAGAAGTCTGCTATTCCCTGGCTGGGAATAGAACTCTTGCTGCAGTGGCTGCGGATAGCTTCATAGTGCTGTGCTTATTAATCTGTTACACCACCAGGGAGGGCCCAAAGAAAGTTTTTATGAATATCTTTCATAGACGAACGCTTTCTTTGTATCAGATGAAAAAATAAACTTTGTCATTAAATAAGGTAAAGTATGTATTTGAGACCTGAATTTAGGCTCCATGCTAATATTTATTAGCAAAACTTAAGTGGTTTAAGCATGAAATGTGGGAAGTTTGTGAAGCCAAGGTATTTTATGGTTAATGTGATACAGCCCTGTTCTATTAAAGGTGGTTAGAGTGGTGATTTTTTTTAAATTTTTTTGTTTTTTTTTCAGTACTTTTCATAAATTTTATTATATACATTTTAATCTGGTTATGATTTTAAATATACAGAAGGTGAGTTTCTCGCCCTTCCAGTGTTGTTGTTAGCTCCTTGTGTATCCTTAAGGCTAGGCTATTTTTGCATATATGAGTAAATATGTATGTTCTTCCTTCCCTGCTTTAAAAAAAATACATAAATGGTGGACTACTGCATATTGGTGTTCTGTATTTTGATACTGATTTGCTTAACAGTTCAGTTTAGAGTGTTTCATAGGGTACATAAGGAGCTCCTTTAGCCTATTTTTTCAATATTTTGTCTATAAGGAAACCGAAGATAACTGTGGCCTGTGTTTTCAATGACCATACGGCAAAGTCACAAACTTAAGTGGACCTTAGATAGCAGTCCGTAACTTGGGACAGGAAGAACAGCAGACAGGGGCTCCACAAAGGGCACAGTCACCGCGGGGCCTAGCAGTGTCTTCAGAGGGTGTCCTGCTCCTCCCAGGTACAGCCTCGGGGTGAGGGCCGCCTTCATGCTCTGCCTGTGCTCTTCATAGTCCACATACATTACTACAGCCTGCAGTAAGGACTCAGTAAATGTCAATACATTTATGTTTAAACAAATCTAGACAGCATAGTGTGAAAAGATGTGATTAACTACACCTTCATTGGTATATTTGTATTTTCTTCAAGCTTTGACACAGACCTTGGAGATGAGAGAGAACATCCAAAAGCAGCTGCAAGAGATAATGTCTGCAACATCAATAGTGAAACCCCAAGGGCAAAGGACTTCTCTTTCAAGAAGTGGTGGCAACAGTGCTTCTTCAACTCCTGACAGCACTCGCTCCGCCCGCAGCGGGAGAAGTAGAGTCCTCGAGGCACTGAGGTATGTGTTTCTCACTGGCAGAAAAGAGTGACTGGATAACTTAAACAAATATAGTTCCTTATTTCAGTATCTGCTATCTGAATTCCATGAGTTGAGGCTAATTTAGCTTTTTTGCTTTTAAATCAATAAAGCAGTTTATAATAAAAGGTTTATACTGTTGGGTCTACTTTAGCTCAGAGAGTGAGTGTGTGTTCCTCCACTGATGAGCTTTTCCACCTCCTGTCTAGCTGCAATCACTTCTAGATATCTGGGGGACAGGAAACAGATAAGGGTTTCTTACAAAGCAACTGCTTCACAGTGAGACATGACTGATAAATTCTATTAAATCATATCCTTAAAATTCATTTTTACTTATGCATACAAGAATTGGAGTGTAGGCCAGAGGTGTAGGGGGTGAGAGGATTTACTAGTGACAGAGTAGAGAGCAGAACTACGAAAACACACTGCCGAGAGGAGCAGCAAGTGAGACAGAAGGGGTCAGCTTACCAGCCAGGTATTGAACTCTTACTCAGTGGCTGGTGATAGTTTTGATAACGCTCAGACTTTAACCCCTGTACCACAAGGGAGGCCTCTGATATTTAAGATTTGTACTTTTTTTTTTTTCCATCTCAATTGTAATCCCCATGGGTTTCCCATCACCAAGTCACTGGTAACTTCATCTTTTTCTAACAGAAAATACTAATTGTGTGATGAATGTAAGGACTTATGCGTTGAGTTAAGTTAAATAACAGAATAAGAAACTGTCTTGTTTTTGAGGCATATGAACTCTGGGGTTAACAAGATAAACACGTGCTCACTCACACACTGTAAGATTCAATACATTTCATTAAATGAATATCGTTGGAATTCTATTTACTCTCCAGTGGAATTGTATCAGTTGCTTGTAAAACATATTTTGCTATAATTCACTTTAAGACTCTTCTACTCTGGGGGATTTGGTTATGAAGATCTAAAAGGACCCCCTTTCAAAGCAGACTTAAAGCAACGCACATGTGTAATTATAATTATTTCAAGTTATATGTAGTCATGTTAAAAAAAAACCTGTAACTATAGCAAGGCAATCAAAGTGACCAGTTAGCTAAACATAGCTATATTTCCCTAAACCTGTAACTAAAGAGACATTTCATTTGTAAATACACTATTTTGACAGAATTCTCCCCTTTAAAGTTTTAAGTATATAGACATCCAATGCTTCATTTTCTAGCTAAAATAAGTTCCTAGGAGAAACATTTTAAAAAGAAATGTTCCCCAGATTTATTTATTAAATATTTTTATAAACGCTTACTTCCTGGTAAGGGATGGGGATATAAAGGTGAACTAAAATTTACAATCTCACCTGTGGATTTTATGAATGTGGATTTCATTATGGCTCTATAGGTATTAAAATGGCTGCATTTTTCCTTAGGCAGTCTCGTCAGACAGCACCTGACATCAACACAGAACCCTCCCAGAATGAACAGATCATTTGGGATGACCCTACAGCCAGGGAAGAGCGAGCAAGGCTTGCCAGCAACCTGCAGTGGCCGTGCTGCCCTACACAGTACTCTGAGCTTCAGGTGGACATCAGGAGACTGGAGGATTCTCCTTTCCAGGAGCATGGCTCAGAAATCGAACAAGGTAACAGAATACATGTGTTTACTTGTGTGTTGAGTACATGCAGATTTCTTAAAAATAGAAAAGTGCATCATGCTAATCTTACTGATTTTGTTGTAAACTAAAAATATAAATCAGAGTAATATCAGTGATTTTAAAATTCTATTTTCAAACTCTTAAATTTGGAAATGTAGAATTAGACATTCTTTTCTAGATGTGGTTTTCCTCATAATCTTTTTTCCATTTGTGTAGTTTTAATGCTTGCTTTTTCTACCAATCATTTTATTTCATTCAACTTTTATAAATTCCACTTAGATGAGACTATTATTTTTCTGTGGATTTGAATAGCCTCCTTTCTGAATTCATTTTCGGAGCTCATCTTAAAAACAAAGTACTTCCATGTACTTCGTCGGTCTGCCTCCCACGGTCTCTGGTGTATCCTTTCACTGCCCCTGCACCTAAATAAATCTTTCTTTAAAAAAAAAAAAAGTGCTTCCTATTGCTCCTCTTTTTCCCCTTTCTTTCACATCAAATGATTCTCACTTCTCTACATTTGATATATTGCTGCTTATGATTTTTTCCAACTATAGAATTTTTTATTTAATAAATTTGGGCTACATTTGAATGATGACAGTTGATTAAAGTTCAGATAGCTCACATTTGCCCTTTTAATTAATTACATTTATTTATAAACTCTAGAAATAGGCTACTTCTTTTACATGTGTTTTTTTGCATTCTGAGTTTGTGTTTAATTTCATCTTGGCTAAGACATAAGGATATTTCCCAGAATTTGCTCTTGGTCATATTTGTGGATAATGTTCTAATGCAGTGTTTTATTGCCTTCAGCTGTCTGTGATCCTGTAAAGGCAAGTGTGACTGAAGCCCCAAAACACCCTATCTCTGAAGAACCATTAACTCCCGGAAAAGACAGCCATCTGATCCCTACGCCACAAGCCCCGAGTATAGCCTTCCCCCTCGCCAACCCACCTGTGGCTCCACACCCAAAAGAAAAGGTTTGTTTATCTTTAGTGTGGCAATAAGGCTTGTGGGTATTTCTGGTATGCTGCATTCAGAGTTCGCTGATTTTAATTCTAAGGATTCAACAAATGTTGAACACTTTTTTTTTGTTTTTTTGCATGTATTGTTTCTATATTTGAAAACTCAGAAGACCCAAGTGAAATGTCTCTAATTATTTCTAAACAAAAACTCTTTCATTCCAGATTATAATAGAAGAGACACATGAAGACTTAAAAAAACAGTACATATTTCAATTGTCATCTCTGAATCCTCAAGAACGTATTGATTATTATCATCTGATTGAAAAACTAGGTACCAATATTTTACTTAACTCACATGTTCAATAAGGTGACCTTATTTGGAAGTAATTAATAGATATTGAGATTAAAAAATGGGCTTTTTGTCTGTGGCTCTACATTGAGTCAGCCTTACTACTTTGATTTTTGTAAAGCTGAGCCTAAAGTCACTGGTCCTAGGATATGCGTTTGTTGTTAGTGAAACCTTGGTCAAATCTATGAAGCGATAGTCTTACAATATAAAGCCATATTTTAGTGAAGTTGAAGACATTAGTGATAACAGAGGAAGGAGCCTCTTACTCCACTAGTTGTCAAGCTCTCCATTTCCCAGTCACCTGGGAGCAGTGTACCAGGTAGCTCCCAGCACCACTGTGCAATAGAAACCACTGGGTACATTTTAAACATATGTTAATATATATGTAAAATAGCTTGTGATTAACAAAATCAGCTATTTTATATTGTCTTCATGCTAAGTCTTTGAAATCATAGTGGACAGAGCAGCTCTATAGAGTTAGGAAAAATGAAAAAAACTAAGAAAGTGGTTTTTTGAGTCATCAAGAAAGTTTAAATGCTATCCTTTGAAGGATTTAGAAAATACGGGTTAAAGAGATTTGTCAGATATAAACTTGAACTATGTCTCTCAGAGACTGTACTTTTGTGGTACACTTTGTCTCCCGTCACCTAAGAAAATCAGATGAGGAAGTTAGCTATGCTTTCTTACCAAAGTGGAATGCATTGGATGACTCTCAGACTCTGGACATTGTCCAATTTGCAGAGATTTGTCTAGAAGAGGAAAGGGTGGAGGCAAATGAGTACAGATTGTGCTGAAGTTAGAAATATGACTAGGTTTCTGGTACTAGAATGCAGGCAGGGCCTTCATTTTATAAATGAAGCAGTTGCGGCCAACTAATCCACATAAAGGCAAGTCAGTCAGGGTCACAGTATAATTTATTATCTAGAATTAGATACCAATCTTAGATTAGTATGGGATTTTTACCTTACTCATTTATCACTGATTCTATGAGTCACTATGTACCAGTATCCTCAAGTAACCTGTCTTCATAGTATTGAGGATGAAATGAGTGTATAGTCTGGAACCCTTACAGCATCCTTGGTAAGTGCGTGCTCAAGGTACACTGCTGTTAGTCATGTTTTACATAACCTAATATAGTACTTACACCCTCCTTTACTCAGTCAGGGCTCATGTGTGTTTCTATGGAAAAAGGTCCCAGCTCGTACCAGCTGCTGTCTGTCTAATCAAGCGTGTGTGTTTTCTTCCCAAACATCTGTATTGTCGTCTGCTATTTGCCCTCACAGAAATATTTCTCCTTTTAGTCTGTTGATGCCCCTTCCTTCTGCCCTTGTTACCCAAATTCTGTTCATATTCAGTACTGCTTAAAAGTTTAGGTAGTTAAGAGTCGCTTCAGAGATCTAATAGCCAAGTCTTGATTGTAATCGAAGAAAATTTCCTTTAGAGATGCATACTAAATTACTTTTAAATAGCTAAGGAAAGGATGGTAGGATGAAATGAGGAAAATTTTAGAACACAGGTGACTAGTTACAGGATTCATTTTACTACATTATCAGTGTTTTAAGTTTTTGTAACATTTAAAAATGTTCCTGTGCAAACATAACTGACAGTCAAGATATATTTTTCCTAGGAGAAAATTAAGACTCACAAATGCAACCAATTTTTTTCTTCTTAAAGGTGGATTAGTGATAGAGAAGCAGTGCTTTGATCCCAGCTGTACTCACATTGTTGTGGGACATCCGCTTCGAAATGAGAAGTACTTAGCCTCAGTGGCAGCTGGGAAGTGGGTACTTCATCGCTCCTACCTGGAAGCATGCAGGTCTGCTGGGCACTTTGTGCAGGTGTGTATTGAAACGGTCATTTTTATTTAAAAGTAGATGTATTCATTGATTCCAGCACATACTGACCATTCATATAACTGAAATAACAATATGTGACCACTTCAATTATACTGTTAGAAGGTTCTTAACAATTAAAAAGTTCAGAGATCATAGACCCATCTCTTCGTTTTATCTAAGTTTGAATATGGGGTGTTTTTGTTTTGTGTTTAATTGACAGTTGGAGATAAAAGCTTATTATGAACTAATCTTAATTTATGCTGCATACAAGAGCTGGGATATAGGCCAGAGGTACAGGGCATGAGAAGACTCACCAGAGACAGAGTGGAGAGGGGAACAGTGGGAGAAACAGGAGAGGTCTGCTGTACCATGTGTGGCAGCTCCATGGCTAGAGATTAAATTCATGCTGCAATGGCTGGTGAGATCTTCATAGTGCTGAGACTTAACCCCTTGTGTCACCAGAGAGGCCCTAAACTATCTGAGATAACTATTACGTAGTTTTTGAAGTTTCAGTCTAAGTCCCTAGGGGCCTCTTAGTAGATAGATAGTAAGCTGTTAGTACATCCTTCCTTTGAGACCATATTCTTCCATGAAGTTCATTTCACAGTAGCTGAAGTCTACTACTAATACCAATTGCTAAAGTATATCTGTTCTAGAAGTTACAGTAAGTTTCTCATTTCCAGTTAAAAACCATAAATACATCAGTCTCATATGAAGCCAAATCAGTGTATTTTTCTACCATGCTCCTAAACTGATGTTATTTTTCTCTGTACTGGTAACAATTGAATATACAGCTTTTAAGTCATATTAGATTGTGAACTCGTTTGTTGGTCTAACTCACCAGGAGGAAGACTATGAATGGGGAAGTAGTTCCATACTTGATGTTTTGACCGGAATCAGTGTACAGCAACGAAGACTAGCACTGGCAGCAATGAGATGGAGGAAAAAAATTCAGCAAAGACAAGAATCTGGCATCATTGAGGTATTAACATAGATTTTAATGTTTTTTGAGAATGTGCTTAACAAAATAAGGATGATTTTCTCTTTTCTCGTGATTGACATATTTTTAATTGAGCTTAATGTCAATTTGTAATTTTTAAAAATTGATCAAAATTAAAATGTGTAAAGTATTTTTGTGCTGTGTGACCCATAATGTATTTCTTTTAGAAAATCTTTTCAGCTAATAGCTTCAGTGTTTAACTTTAGCCACCCTGATCTTGATAATACCATCTTTTTGTATGGGGTTGAGGGGGTTGCCTTTATTAATCTCTAATGGAACGTTAGCATTTTTTTGTTGATATTAGACAAGTCACAACACTATTAATGGTACCTGTGACTTAGCCTCACAGAAATCATTTGACCCACCTCTAGGTCTCACAATTTAATGCCTTAATATAAAAAGCATATCTATTATTGTAACAGATTTTTTAAAATATTTTGAGGATTTATTTTACTATGCATACAAGAATAGGGGTGAGAGGATTCACCAGACAGGGGTGAGAGGATTCACCAGACACAGTAGGGGGCAACACAGGGGAGGTCTCCTACGCCAGGTGGGTCAGCTCCCTGGCAAGGATCAAACTTGTGCTGCAGTGGCTGCAGATAGCTTTATAGTGCTGACACTTAACCCCTTGTGCCATCAGGGAGGCCCACAGGTTTTATCAAAGAGGTCTAAACTGTTTTGTGAGTCTAAGAACACCCAATCTCAAGCATCTTGTATGTTGTAATGAGTTCTCTGCTGAGTCCTTGTTAACCTTGATTCCCTTTTAGAGTAATTCTGCTGACTTTTGCAGACATTTAAGAAATAGAACAGGGGTTAAACTCTCAGCACTAGCCAGCTATCATCAGCCACTGTGGCGACCTGCACAGTAGACCTCTCCCGCTGCTCCCCATTCTGTCTCTGGTGAATCCTCTAACCCCCCCGTATCTCTGGCCTACACCCCAGTTCTTACCTGCATAAATAAAAATAAGTCTTTAACAAAAGAAATATGAGAGCTTTCTCTGTAGTGCAGTGGGTTAAAGCACTGCATTCTGAAGCTCTCCAAAGCCACTGCAGCACAAGTCCCATCCCCGGCCAGGGAGCTGACCCACATGGTGACAGACCTCTTTCGCTTTCCTCAGCAGTGTACTTTGCCAATCTGCCTGTTCTTCTCCCCGCTCTGTCTCTAGTGAACCCTCTGGCCTGTACCCTAGTTCTGTAAGCCTAAATAAGTAAATAAGACAACATGACTGTTTAGAATACACTAAAAGAGAGATAGCTGTCACTGCCAAAAGTAAAGGTTATAAGAGTATTTGTTGACATAAAGCTTAACAAGTCTATGGGTAAAAGAATACTTCATCTGTATTCACTTATTTTCCAAGTGATTTCATACTGATTTTTTTTTTTTTTTAGGGGGCATTTAGTGGGTGGAAGGTTATTTTACATGTTGGTAAGTCCCGAGAAGCAGGTTTCAAACGCCTTCTTCAGTCAGGAGGAGCTAAGGTGTGTACTGAATTTATTTGTTGGATTTTTCCATGAATTAGTTTCTAATCAAGTTACAGATTTTTTGTTCTTTTGTAAGATGATAATTCTTAAGTACAGCTTATCTATATATACTTCATTTTGAGACACTGATTATGATGCTTTTTTTTTTTTTTTTTTTAACTAGGTTCTACCTGGTCATTCTGTAGCTTTATTTAAAGAAGCTACACATCTCTTTTCTGACTTTAATAAACTGAAGCCAGATGACTTGGGAGTTAATATAGCAGAAGCTGCTTCCCAGAACGTCTTCTGCTTGAAAACAGAATACATTGCTGATTATTTGATGCAGGTTTGTGAGTCTGCCCTTGACCTGCTAGCTACCAGTGGAAATTCACCCCATAACATTCCTTCCTTCTAAATGGCAACTCTTGTCTAGTATTCACCTGATTTTTTTTGTTCTCGAGAGAAGGTAGTTTTAGATTATGCTGATCAGAATAGTTAAGAAGTACTTACTCGATCTTAAAATTGTTATATTTACAATAAAGGAGAAGGGCTCTTTTATGTTTGTGAGGGAGAAAAGTACAAGGGTTTTGAAAGTGTTATGGCTGCTGTTTTTTCCATATTCTATATTTAATCTGTTTTACAGCTCAAACTATTTTTTTAAGGTCTGATAAAAGGTGAGATTTTCTTACACAGGATCTGTGACAAGTACTAAAAAATGTACCTTGAAAGCAGCTATTCATTTACAAGAACCTAGGAAATGAATACGCTATTCTAGACAAGCAGAATTAAAGGTCTGTTACCTGATCATTTAACACTTTGAAATCTGAAAATCATTAGCATTGTTTTTTTTCTTTTTATAGGAATCACCTCCTCAAGTACAAAATTACTGCCTACCAGAAGCTGTTTCATTTCTTCAGAATAAGGAAACTGGGCCTGGATTATCACAAAAGAGGAAAGTTCCTACAGAGCAAAATAAAATCAAAAGACCAAGAATACACTAATCATATCTACCCCTGAGTTGCCAAACATTAAATACTTTTTAAATTGAAAGCCTGAATGTTACTGGGATTTGTGTAGTAATTTAAAGACATGGACCTGAGAATTTGTTTGAATGTAATGATCTCACTGCTTGAAGTTAGTTTTTAACCTGAAGTTTTGATCAATGAGATATTAACTGTTCCTGAATATAAAGTTATTTGAAATAACAAAACATGACTCCTCAGCTAGAAGGAGTGGTTAAAACCACATTCAAGTGCACTAGCGGCTTTTTGTTTATTTACTTGTAAATATGAGGCTTCGGCTTATGAAGTTTTAGCAAGGTGATGGCTTTTTACCTTGGAAGTTGTCAGTTGGGATTTTTCATGCTTTCCATGACTTTCTTCTTCTCGCCATTTTACCTCATTTTAACAGGAGCCTGAACAAAATTAAATGAGGAACTTAGGCTTTAAATGTGTGTATATATGTATATGTATGTTTGTATAAATCTGCATGATACTGCCAAGTTTGGGCACCAGAACTTGGAAAATAAAAAGAATAAAAGTAGCGACTCAAAATAGTTGTTTAAATTTTTTAAAAGTATCTGGTAGTACCATTTTCTTATTGAAGCAATAAAAGATAAGTGAATTGCTAGTTATGTTTCTGATGTTTAGAACATTTCTGAGTTTTAAAAAAACTCAGAACTACATTGGCTTTTATTAATCTAAAGCTAAGCTCCAGGTATTACAAGCATACTACAGTCCGATAATATAAAGTTTTTTAATTTTAACGAACAAACCATAATCAGTTGGGATTCTTTAAGATTTATTTGTGCATACAGAACTGGGGTACAGGCCAGAGGCTCAGGGGCGGCGAGAGGCTTCACCAGAGACAGAGTGGGGTACAGAACAGGCAGATC